GAGCAATGGAATATAATGTTATTGTTCTGTATTAGTTGATGTCTTGGTTCAGATCAGGTATAGACTGTGAGTCTCACACGTGTACCTGTATGTGTATGATCTGTAGGTTGGGTTTCTGTCAAACTAAGATGTCCCCTGTCCCGTGTCCCTTGTCGGTAACTGATGTGTGATTAATGGGGTCTGGGACAGACAGCTCATTACGAAGGACATCAGCAGCCAGCACACGCACGCACGCACACACACACACACACACACGCACACGCAAACGCACACAAACACACACAGAGACACACAGACACACACACACAAACACACACACCGAATTAGAAAAAGACACACACTTCCAGCCAGCCAGCCAGCAGCCTTCTGAACAGGTGGCTCCGCTAGGCAGGACTCTGTGTGATAAATGACGGTCTGACGGCCACGTAGGAGCAATCACAACCTGGACATTACTATTATTAAAGCCGCCATCAGGAGAAGAAAAGACACAGAAGGAAGAAAGGAAGCAACACAACGTTTTAGACACGTCACAGACAGATGTCCTTGGTTGGTTCCTTCTGAATGAAGGGAAAATAAAGTCTGATTTGATTGGATTGTGGAAGTATCTTTTATGTAACAGACATACTGTATGTCTGATGACACAATAGGAGAGGCTAGAAGACCGGTATGTGCAGAGTGACTAGCGCTGACGTAGCATTACAATCTTTTGCATTTATCCATTTATTTATGGAGTTGTTGATTTGAAGAAGTAATTGTGATTTGTGACTAATAATGAGGAGAAATCTGACTGTTAGCTGCAGTTCTGAGATAAATGTGTGATATAACTCCTCTTTCATGTGGCATGTAGAGGCCAACATCAGAGTCATTATAATGATTAATAAAGTCACCGTACTGAAGATGCTGAGGATGTTATTGATTACCTGAGAGTAAAAGGTCACTCCATTTGGTGTGTGTGTGTGTGTATGTGTGTGTGTGTAAGAAGATAACCTTTGATCTCCAGTGTATCAACATGTTGCATGAAGGCTGTAGATACCACAGATCCTCGTCAATAGAGAGGTTAGATGTGTGTCTGTGTGTGGTATTGTTACCAGCCTAGTACGTGTTCCTGCAGGGTCATTTAGGATCACGATGAACTCACACAGAGTCATGACCTTTGACCCACAGCTCACTGATTGGCCCAATCCAACCTCCAGGATGATGCTTTTGTAATCCAAACATTAAATTCAATTCAAATTCACAAATATATAATTCACTGTCAATACTACGTCATCCAATTATGTTTACTTGCCTATAGGACAATTCATTAGCACTAATCTCGTCCCCAACCGATTTAAGGTGGTAGAAATTGAGCCTGGGGGTGTGGTTAAATTAGTATTGCATGATCAGAATTCTGTGAATATTTAATTCACAAAATTTCTGACAGTATGAAATAAATCTTTCAGATTTCAAAAACCTGAAGGGAAATCTCCCCAAAATAGCAGCATTGTGCATAGCCTTATTTTATAGATCATCACCATACTAACAAGCCGTGACAATGCAGTCATTCATCAGTATAATACTATGTAATATTCAATATTGACTACATAACTCTGTGTATAACCCTTGACCCCTGCTGTGTCGTATAGAGTGGGTATGTTGTTTAGTAAACAGAGTTTGCTGGAAATGAAAGGAATAAATCAAGAAGTCAAGTTGTGTTCTGTCCTGTCCTGTCCATAACCAGACACCCCCCTCCCCTGTACAGATTAAGTATCTTAATTTGATCACCCTGTTGCAGGAGAAATTTCCTGAAATGCAGGAAATGTTGAACTTGTAGTTTATTTGAGGTTTAAAAAGGCTTCTGAAGTTTGTCATTACCACTTTTACATTTCAGACTTGATTTTCTCTTAAGAAAAATTTATCAACCCCTACAACATGAAAATGTCCAATAATTATAATCCACATAATTATTAATGTCCTGTTGATGCAGGATAATTTTCCTGCTGTAGCAAACTGGTTCAAATTAAGATCCGACATCTGTACCACCGGCCAGACCGAAGCCCCATCTGGAGCGCTAACAGAGGTGTGAGGCTGCCGCATTGTACGCCTTGACACCGCTGCATTGTTCTCCCTGACACCACTCTCCTTCACCTATTCCCTCACTCTCTCCATTCTTCTCTTCCTCTCTCCTCGTTCTCTGTCTGAGTCTGTCCAATGTTGTTTTCCACTCAGATGACTTCTAAAGTGCCCATATGGCCCTTTGGAACTCTGCGGTGAGCCAGAGTGACTCACAACAAAGCAACTATAAGGGCTTGATTCAATCCGTAGCGCTTTAGAGCTGCGCTACAGCGCAAAATACATATAAAGGCATGTTCCCACGTTAGCGGAGACTGTATTCACGGTAGATGCTGCATATGTCGGAAATTACCTTTAAATTCAGCCATACGGATTGAATCGACCTCTATATCTCTCTAAGAGGTGTAGAGAGAGTCAGTGACAAGTACTAACCCATGCCCATGACCAAATAATCCTCACTCACCCGAGTGAGATCTTGGTACACCAAGTTCTCGCTCAGTGATGTCCTAATGGACAGAACTTGGTGTACCAGAATTTTCCATACACTCCCAAGAGGCACAGATGGAGAACCATTCAACCATTGAGTAAAGTGTGGGTTGGATCGTTTCTTTAAGAACTGGCTACATCAGCTGTCATACTGAGAGACCTCCTGGAGTAGAAACACTGTGGCTGAACTGTGGAAGCTCATGTTCTAAGTTCTACAAGACTTGCACAATTACTGTGCAGGAATTAAATGTGAGGATGCCTTTACTTAAAATCGACTGATCACTTCAGTGACTTTACTCTTCTGTGTAACCAACCACACTTCACAGACAGAAAGCTTAGTGAATTAAAATGTTGAAATTCTATCTGATTAAAGTGTGAGGAGACTCCTTTTCCCCTCTAACCAACCACAGACAAACAACCCAGCGATGACTGAACACCCATCCAGACAGTTGTTTTAATGCTTATATTATAATAAATATGATTAAATCAGAAAGATAAATACAGGAATCTGATAATCTGATTAGATTTGTCCATTTAATGGCAACATGTTTTGAGTAAACAGTACACAGGTGAAGTGTGTCCAGGGAATACAATAGAAGAACGTGTCCTGATCTAATAGGCTGCGTCTGAAATGGCACCCTATTCTCTACATAGTGCACTACTTTTGACAAGGGCCCATAGGGTTCGGATCAAAAGCTGTGTACTATATAGGGAATAGGGTGCCATTTCAGATGCAGCCATAGTCACACACATATCAGTAACGATAGGACTGGTAATGCATGTCCCATTAAGTTAGACTATGGTTCTAATACGAAGCGGTAGGTTATCCAACCTGTGCTCTTTCTTTCAACATTTTTGTACATTTATAGGGGCGAAAAATAAGAACAATTTCATAATCACTATAATATTTACACAATAATTAAGTGGTGCTATCCACAGTCTTGTTAAACTCTCTTTAAGATACGTACATATACATTTACATAGTAGCCATACTCGTAGTTCTGCATAGTGCTTTCTTTCAGTAGCATTCCAATACTGTAACTTCACACTGTTGTGTTGAACTAATGGGGCTAAGCATTGTTTTACATCAGGTAGCGTCACTCCTACACAGCACTTGATGATTCGTCTAGCGTAAAACAATGGGGGCTAAGTGGACTTAACCACTGAGCAGTTTAGGTTTGACCTTCAGAAAAAGTATACATACTGTACACTCTTAGAAAAAAGGGTTCCATAAGGGTTGTTCAGCTGTCCCCGTAGGAGAACCCTTTGTGGTTCCAGGTAGAACCCTTTTTGGTTCCAACTAGAACCCTTTTGGGTTCCATGTAGAACCCTCTGTGAAAAGGGTTCTACATGGAACCCAAAAGGGTTCTCAAAAGGGTTATCCTATGGGGACAGCCGAATAACCCTTTTAGGTTCTAGATAGCACCTTTTTTTCTAAGAATGTATAGAAACCATGTCTACTTTTTGTAAACAAAAAGGCTGTGTCTGCTATAACCATAAGAAAGCAGCTCTGCAGTAAAGGAACTATCCCTTTAAAAATGATGTTGAAGGTATTTTTTATAAGGCCTTAAAGTCTATGTAATTAATAAGGGAAAGGAATGACTATTTATAGAGCTAGTAGGGACACCATATCCATAGTCCATTCCCGACCATGAACAGAAACCAGATTTAAGATGATGTCATCGTCCCCCATGTCCTTACAACCTTACAACCCACACCCAACCTTTCTCCAACATGTAAGAATCCGAGTTGCTTGGCAACCCTCAGAAAGTATTATCTTGCCTTAGGTTTTAACACACCACGCACAGCAAGGACAATTATGGTTTGTTTATGTGGGTTATTGCACACAATCATCTGGTTCTGTGTTCATAAAAACTCTCATCATCACACGATTAGACTTCGTTTATATAGCTACACAAACAAAGATGTACACTAGTTTACTGCTTTGGTGGTAGAATAATGAAGGCCAGCACTTCTGTTTGACTTACAATTTATGTTTTGAAATTGTTCTTCTGTAACTCGTCTTCTTCTTTTCTTCTTTAATTTTCTTTACACACAGGCAGTTCCCTCAGGCAGTTTGGATCCAGTAGTAGGATTGGACGAAACTCAATTACCCCGTCTTTGAGAATCACCCACCCTCAGCAGCCTTCCATCCAATTGGGGGGGGGGGGGGGGGCTTGCGATATTAGGTGACTCAGGGTTGAGTGTTGAGGCTAGGTCCTATACATGGAGAGGGTGTTCTGTAAGTAGGTGACTGAGGGTTGAGGTTGTAGGAGGGACTGAGAGTTGTGGCTAGGTCCTATAGCCTCAACTCTCAGCTATAGTATTAGTCACTATAGTAACTTTAGTAACTAGGGCCTATAGTTACTATAGTTGCTATAGGACAGATCATGGAGAGGGTGTTCCGTATGATTGAGAGGTGAGGCTGTAGGTTGACTGAGGGTTGAGGCTAGGTCTGTTAGCTAATCTGCGTAGATGATGAATCCAGAGAAGGTGCTGTACTTGTTGTTGTTGCCCCCGTGGGCCTTGCCCCCGTCCAGTTTGATGTAGACCTCGTCTCCAGGCTCCAGATGCAGCACGGCACTGTTACTGGCATAATCATAGTTTTGGTCAGCGTCCTGGGCTATGGCACTGGCTCGAACCTAGAGGGGAATGTATGGAGACACAGTTTGTTATCATGAACACATGGCATTGGCTCAAACCTACAGGGTAATGGAGACAGATGTATATAGATAACTGCCACCAACTCACTGTGGCACTGGCTCAAGCCTAGAGGAGAATAGCCATGTTGATATGTAATATGTCTTTCTTAATTTCCCTTGAGTGGATAATTAAAATTGTATTGAATGGAATTGAATCAGCACCTTAACCCAATATTTCTCATTGGAGTCCCATAGCAGGTTCCCCCCTGAAGGTTGCCAGACTAGCAATGTTCTAGTAATCAGTTAACTTAAAATATTGTGTTGTATTAACACTAACAAGTTTGCTTACATTTTTACAATAACATTATCTTTAGTTTCATAAATGTTTAATGCAGATGATATTAAAGATAACTTTTTTGTCAGTATGCAACTCAATTGAATTGCCTTCTGGAGAGTTTTTATACAAAATGTGTACATAATCCAATGTTTATGACTCCAAATTGCAGTACTATAGTGGACTGCACACTGTTCTAAAAACAACATATTAGAGTCATAGGCTAGGCCTTTGTCTTGCTTCCAATGTAGATGATAAAGAGAGGCGATAACTGTTTCAGCCCCATGGACAGCTCCAATACACAATAGGCCTACCTGGACACCAGAGGCTTGAGTGTCAGGAAGAACCTTGAATTCTGCATTCTGACCCTAACTACCTGGACACCAGAGGCTTGAGTGTCAGGAAGAACCTTGAATTCTGCATTCTGACCCTAACTACCTGGACACCAGAGGCTTGAGTGTCAGGAAGAACCTTGAATTCTGCATTCTGACCCTAACTACCTGGACACCAGAGGCTTGAGTGTCAGGAAGAACCTTGAATTCTGCATTCTGACCCTAACTACCTGGACACCAGAGGCTTGAGTGTCAGGAAGAACCTTGAATTCTGCATTCTGACCCTAACTATTGCTAAAACAACTATTTGAGCTAAATAACAAAATACCACAATCAATTAAAACAACCAATAAAAGAGTTCTCAACTTCACATCGAGAAAGGGATGGTAAAAGTCCATATGAAGGATAGGCCTAAGCCTAATTAGGCTACACTTATCCAGACTTGTCATCAACCAGAAATTGTTCAGCAATATCGCCCTAATTAGCCTACTAATTATCAGTATTCATTGATTGATGAACATGAACATCATTAAGATCTAAAAAGTGAAACATAGCAGGGAATCATGGGCTACTGTTTATTCAAATGAGTCTCCTCAGACACCTTCTGTAAGGTGTAACATGAGACTGTAAATTAGGGAAGTTGGTATAAATCCACTGATTGCGTAACACAATTTTGATGTTCTGTGTGTGGAGATTCAAATGGAAAACAACCTTTAAATGCCATTAAAGCCATGCACAGCAAGCACTGTTCATTCACTATAATAAAATAATGAATAACATCTGAATTATTTAAAACAACTTTATTTTTAAATGATACAGTAAATGCTCGGGCCTAAAGGCATATTTTAGGCTAATCAAAATTATTTTAATTATCTGAGTGAGTGAATAAATAAAGTATTTATTTAATTATTTGTAATTGTTTATTTCTACTTTAGCTCAAGCTTGACCTCTACTAGTCCTCAGTTCAGCATGCTGTTTTCGAACACTGGATGTGACAAAAAAAAAAAAAAAACAGAGTAAGTCTCTTGGCAGTCTTAGTTCTTTTTTTTTTACACACCAAAAGTACCGTTATTGTTCCAGCTAAACCTCTCTGTCTGTGCTGTGAACTGATTGGCCCGTACTGTAGCTGTGTTGTGCAGAATGAGCTCCGGGCTTTAGCCTAAGTGGCTGCCTGGTCACCCCGTACACCGAGCATGGTGGCCGTTGACAGGGGGATGCGCATGGCGAAGCGGGCTCTGTGAGTCGTGGAGACTAACAGTGGCTTGGTGACACGGGATGTCCCGAGGGAATAGGGATTAGATGTGCTCTCTGACAGCAGCTAGGCTATAATATTATGAGCAGAATCTATCAATTCTGATGGTTGAAGCACTGTTGAAAAAGGAGATAAAATATTATTTGTAACCTATCAAGTGTGAGTAACAAGCTATTGCTAAATCTACATATTATGATCATATTATGATTAAGGATTTTCTAATAATAATAATAATGATTTTGAAAAAAATAATGATAGGCCTATTTTGTTTTACTTGTTATGAAAATAATAAACAATTGTTAGGATGATCTTGTATCAGATTTAGCATAATGTAATCAAGTCACAAAGACAGGAAGCCAGTTATACGCATGCATGAGTGTTTCTATTTAAATAATCACTCCAGCATATGTAGTAGTCTATAGGCTAAAGCCAGGCGACAATAAAACGAAAGGGACACTTTTCCCCCACTCAAACATTGCGTTGGACTTCATCAGTCGTGCCCGTGCGCGCGCTGACAGGAGGCGTATGGATGTCTGATTGAAGATGCCCCGTGTTGGGTGTAATTGATGCAAACGGAAGTGTAGAGGGACAGCGCTATTGGGACAATGGACCTGAGGCAAAGATTATCCATTGTTATCATAATACATTTTCAACACTAATTGGGTTAACGAATTGACATTGGGTTGACATTCAATTCCTCCTAAGACTGAATGATTGAGTTTAACGAAACAAACTCCATTTTACTTTTCAGACCAATTAGATTTTTTTTTTTTAAGGCCAAATAATAAAAGGTATTATACCCTTTCCAGCTACACTCATGAAATAAGCTAATAGCATTATATTTATCATGTTCAACAATGTCTGTTTGAATGATTTATGCATTTGGTCACCTTTCGGTTCCTACTTATTTTCCCATGAAGCAAAAAAGAGAGATCACTCGAACGCCAGTTAGAACGTCATTTCTGGCGTTCGAGTGACAAGTGCCTGAAACTTTTAAACATATTTGCCAATAAACACACAAAGGCTACAACAATATGCGCCTCAGTCTGTGCGTAATTCTTGGCGCACCGTCCGTACCTGATTGTTTTTGCAGAGATCTGCCCACATGCTGGTTCCGTCTCCTCCGCGCATCAGGACGTGATAAGTGAAGAAGTATATCCCAGGTATGGAGCAGGTAAACTTCCCCGTTGTGGGGTCGTAATGGTTCCCCAGGTTAGTGACCACGTCGTCGAATTTCAGCACCTCGTAGCCCTCGTGCTGCTTTTTAAGGCCTGCGTAAAACGCGATTTTGGGAACGGTGCTGTACGTGGCCGCGCTGATAGCCCCCGCCGCGGCATTGGGTCCCGGTGGCCCCGGTAGTCCAGGCCGTCCCGGTTCCCCCTTCTCCCCGGGTGGCCCCATCGGACCGGGCGGGCCCTGATCACCTGGGATGCCTCTGGGTCCAGCCTTCCCCGGGCGGCCCGGTTCTCCTTTCGGACCTGTTATAAAAGTTGGTAAAGACTGCATGAGGCTGTTGTCTGCTCGCACCGTGTCTGCCGTAGCGGTCGGTGACTTGGTTCCATATGGATCACACACCATCCTGCAGGTTCCCAGCATCTCATAGTGCGCTGAAGTTCCAGCGGAGTTAACCAGAACTGGGATCAGAATCACCAGCACTAACACCATGACGACTCCGAGCACTCCAGCCGCTATTAGCCGCTTCCTGCCGACCAGTCTCGTCAGCGCAGGGCGATCCTCTTGTCTGCTTTTGGGTGAAATCTTGGTGGTTGATGAGGTACGCTTTTAGAAAGAAAAAATTATACAGCCAATATTGGTTTGTTGGTAAGCTAATGGTAATGAACTTTGTTTTGGGCCAAGCCCCCTGCGAGTCAGTTTTTCTTTTTTTCTTTTCGCTCTTTACTTTTTGTGCTGATGTTTGCTTATTTAAGTCTCACCGAATCGGAAAGTTCAGCCCTTTTCCTGGCTGCTTTAAGTCGTCAGTGATAAAAAAAAAAAAACACTGTCTTCAGCATTTCTGTGAGGTGGCGGCTGTACTTTAAAGCCCTGCTGTAAGCAGCCACGTGTGGACGCGCAGCACAAAAAAACACTTCGGCGGGAGAACGCACTCTTTCCTCTCCTTTATTCTCCAACGCTCCACAGCTTATATCCAAAGCCAAATGGTCTAAAAGTCTACCAGTGTGTACACAGTCCAGAGTTGGTTAAAGAAAAGCAGCATATCAGGTGTAAGCACCACTCTTCCATAAACCGCTGGTAATGTCCTCAAGCCCTGTGTGGAGAGCGGAGTGCCTCTGATCAGAGCGCGTAGTTTACAGAGTTGTAGGCGCAGTAGTCTGCACTGCACAGAGAGAGAAGAAAGAACAGAGAGGGAGGGCAAGATAGTGCACCCTCTTATAAAAGATGGGAATCTAGTGCAAAGTAACAACACCCATTCCGTTATCTTGATATCTCGTTCGGTCCGATACAGACTTGGCATCAAAAGGACAAGAGGAAGAGAGGCTTGGAGGGACGCAATCAGGCCCTGGACAAAGTTGGCATGAATCACTGCTTTAGAGGATATAAATGAGAAATGTTTCAAGTTTAGACAAATTGGATTGTTTTACTTTAGCGTTTACTCAGGGGCATGTGGCAACGTCTCTATATGTTTCTTTAGACTACAATCAATACAGCACTTACTATTTACATGTGAACATGATTAATACATGGTTACATTCCTGTAATCCAAACTAATTTCTCTCAGCTCAAACCAAGGACATCAGGGGCCACGACAAGGCAATCGCTGGTCGTGGACTCTTATCATGTCATTTAAATCAAACCATGGTTCGGGGTTATTATACCGCCAAAAATCCAATATTATTGAGACCACTTAGTTGATACATTATACAAGTCCCTGAAAATGAGCTTCGAAGGTAACAGGGCGGCCATTATAATGACACTTCTGTCAATATAATAACAGCAGACGATAAATTATAGCACATTGCTGTGGTAAACACAAACTATATCTTAAAGTAGCTTATTGCTGCTTGGCCCTGGTATACAAGGTAAATATGAGGTATACATTTTAGGTGATATACTTTATGCTCCTTTCACAAGTTCAACAGGTTGTTACCACAAACACGGTTGCTGTGTTGCGCTTGGATGTGCGCAAAGCCCTGCACACTGCGTACTCTTCTGTACGTCTGCTGTGCGCAGACTGCAGGTCATAAGGATCACAACGTGCCAGATTCGTAAAAGCAGCAGGTCATGTATGAAGAGCTTTGACGTAGCACTGGTACCAAAAAGGTGGCTGTGACAATAATATTTCACTGTTAGAATTAAGGCCACCCAAGACCAAGTTTCGCTTGCACGCACCCACGAACAGCACGCACTCACAAACACACACATACACACACGTTCTCTGGTACTCCTATTCTATAGATTGGCATGATCTGGGTGGCATAGGTACCTGTAGATACCAATTGGCCATATGCCATCTACCCCACCTCACCCATTAAGGTGGCATAGAGCAGGTTCCCTAGCCAATCAGGTCTGCCCTAACACACACTGGACCCTATAAATCACCCAGTGAAAATCAATGGCCTTGGTTAGCTGGGGACCTATTGTGTCCTTGAGGCTGTGAGATGAATCAAGAAGAAGGAACGAAGGAATAACATCTGTTTAAATGAAGGAGTAGCACAAAGGAAATAAAAAAAAAAGAGATTAAAAAAACAACACAATGTTGAGGTAATGACTTTTACCAAAATCAAAGAGGGGGCCAGAATCAAATGTATTCCACTGCAGCTTTGAGAAGTTTTAACTTAAAACAACAGTAGTTGGAAAAGGTCATAGATTCATTGTTGTCATTGACTGATCTACCGTTCGCATAATGATGCATTTCCCTTGACGAGCTCCATTTCTCAGGCCAGTCCTCCCATTCTAATGGAGGCTGACAACACAATTGAACAGCTGTAGAGAATGGGTCAGGTTGCCATTATTCTAAATCCACAAAGAGATGGATTGGTTCTAAACACTCAGGCAGTAATGAATTGCCAATACCTTTAGCAAAGTTTAAAAACCACGCCCTATTTTGGATTTGTAATTGTCCAGATTTTTTGAGGGATCAGATTAAACCCTCTGGCCAGACCTCTGGGTGGACTGAAGGAGTAGGAGGAAGAGTAGGAGGAAGGAAGAGCGCAGAGGGCAGAGAGTATTGTAGAGGGAAGAGAAGGATGGATGAGGAAGTGGATAGAGGGCAGAGGGTGTTGTCTTACGTCAGATAGCGTGACGAATCCGTCTGCACTGTTGGTTGAGGGACAAGTGTTGTGTAGAAGTGATTCCACCAATTAGAAGACAATGGGGCAGAGAGAGTAGATTGGAGAGGGAGACAGGCTGTGGATGAACACAGGGGACAGAGTGATGAGATGTTTGGATGATTTACTGGTGTTAATGAGGAATGGGGAGAAGGTAGAGTAGACAGTGTTTGGAGACAGGTATGAGAGAGATCGAGAGTAGCACTGAGGAGGAATGGGTAAGGGGTATGCTGGCATGATGGGGCGAGGTGAGTCGTGTGTGGGTAGGTGGGAGGGAGGAGAGGTGTGTGTGGGTAGGTGGGAGGGAGGAGAGGTGTGTGTGGGTAGGTGGGAGGGAGGAGAGGTGTGTGTGGGTAGGTGGGAGGGAGGAGAGGTGTGTGTGGGTAGGTGGGAGGGAGGAGAGGTGTGTGTGGGTAGGTGGGAGGGAGGTGTGTGGGGGTAGGTGGGAGGGATGGAGGAGAGGTGTGTGCGGGTAGGGGGGGGGGGGGGGTGAGTTGTGTGTGGGTAGGTGGGAGGGAGGAGAGGTGTGTGTGAGAGCAGAGGGAGTGTGTGGATGCATGTCAGGTCTCCAGTTCCATCCTCTGAGTTGTTGCGCCAGCTCTAAGAGATGGACAGATGTGCCCACTGTGCTTGTGAGCGTGGTGTGTGAACGAGCAGGACAGGCAGCCCCAAGGTGGCCCACACACACACTGATCGACACCCGCACACACCATCCTAAGAGTCATCAGCTGGTTACCAGGAGAGACACTGCTGAAAGGTCAACTCAAAGATCTCATCCCCTCTCTCCACCTGCCGTCATGACAACAGGGGAGATGTGTGTGTTGAGGGCAAGGGTGTGAGGCGTGACATGGCCGTCTTAGGGTGTGTGATCTCCCTGACTGACTTGCTGTGTGTCCACCAGTTCAGTGTTTAACTCTCCTAGAAACCACACTCATAGGGGTTATCAAACTTTTACAGTGGATTTGGACCAAAATCGAAACTCAAACAGATTGCTTTATTTAAAATATTGAAAACAGAACACATGTAACATACAATATATTGTGGCATCTGGAACATGGCTTGATAAAAGCATAATAAAAGGAATACATTATTTTCATTGCCATTATTAAGCTGAAATGTTAAGGACAGTTGGCAGGAAGCGTGTGTTCCACGGCACTTTTAAAAATAACACTTTCAGTAAAGACTTAGGCTATCAATGGCTATTCTATAGATTGTCCCAGACAGTTGCAGATGTATTTCAAAGTCACAGGAGAAAATGGAACAATCAAAATCCTTCAGTATCTCCAGGTCATTGAAAAGACTTGGACAATGGTCTTACAATGTGGATTATGACTGAGCACCGTACCAGACTATAGTGGATTGCAACTTTAGGACGCCATATTGTTTCAGTGTTATGTCCCATATGACTGATACCTAAGGAACATGGCCACCCCATTGTTGAAAGCTACTTGTTATCCTTTATAAAATGAGCTCTGGGGGTATTTTTGCCACTGCTGGCTACCGTAGCACGTAGACTGAACGTGTACAATTGACCACAAGAGACAGTGAGGATACATATCCCTGTGTTGGAAAACAACTAGGAGAAGGTAACAGACAGTGACTTTACACCCCTCTACTCCCCTCGAGGGCAGGATACAACAGATGCAGTTAAGACCCCTTAAAGCCGTCTAAAATCCCTCCCTCCACTCGGGCTGCAGCGGCTGCCTTTACACAACCTGTCTCACTACAGTGGAGACAAGGAGTCACCAGGGAGTGCTGGAGGGGTCGGATATGACCCTCTCCAAATGGCCTACTCCCCTCTCCTCACCCTCCCTCATCCCCTCTACCTCTCTCACCTCCTCTCTCCAAAATGGCCTGCTCTCCTTCCTACACCCCCCCACTCACCCCCTCCCCTCACTCTCTCTCTGGTAAGCTGGATCAAATCAAACGCGGGGTGAAGCTAATGGTTAGTCTACAAGGCGTTTTGTGTTGGCAGATAGCTACACAAATTAGCATTGTTTCACAATAGTCACCCCCGCCAGGACAAGCTAATTCAGTTACCTTGGGACCGCGGGGCTAGAGTCAGTCAACCTGTGTTATGACTTCATCACCACAGATATGGCTTGGGAAATTATTTATCTTCCAAATGAAGTTAAGAAACAATTGCAGATTTTTTTAAATCACACTGTCTGAGAAAAGTTAATAAAATACGCTTTATGAATTGGTTTGAATAGGATGGGTTGACTGAATCAGTCCTTTGGTCTGCTTAAAGGGTGCTGTAATAAAATCGCCCTCTGTGGCTGTTGAATAAAGATGCATGGTGGACTACCATTCTAACACTAGTGTAACATCATGAACATAACATAGAGCAGTATAAAATGTAGTTCTGTGTTCCTCTGA